CGAACCTCGAATGGCTCGACCATGGACGTGGGTAGTTTAAGTTTGTGAGATAACGTCGCATTAATGAAGTTGTGCGACGACCCATTGTCCACGAGCACAGTCACTCGCCGGTCCTTCACCCACGCCGGCAATCGCATCGTCCTCGGGCCCTTGGTGCCTGCCATGGCGTGCAAAGAGATCTCGGCCTCATCATCGAGCACCTCGACCTCTTCCTCTTCCCTTTCTTCCACAAACTCTGGCTCCTCATCACCCAAGTCAATAAACTCGATCAGAAAATTTTGCTTACATTTATGACCCGGGGTGAACCTCTCTTCGCACTTAAAGCACAGTCCCTTCTCACGCCTCCGAGCCATCTCTTCGACCGTCAATCGCTTGATCTCCGGAATAGGAGGTCGAATGTTGCTCGTTGGTTTGACGCCTGTATGAACGTGTTCGAGCTAATCGGCACCCAGCGCGATTCCGGGGCGCGGAGATCCGCCCGTCCCCTTCGCGTTGCAGCCAGGTGCTCATCGCGCCGTCGAGCGACCTCCATCACCTTTTGCATGGTGTCCGTTTGCTCCAATCGTACCTCCGCAGCCAAATCGTACCTAAGTCCTCCGATGAATGCACCGACCAAGGCACTCTCGGGCCACCCTCGTACGCGACACGCCAAGCGCTCGAACTTCTTTTGGTAATTGCGTAGAGTGCCCGTCTGCCTAATACGCGAGAGCGCCTCGTCATAGTTGAGGTAACTTGACGCTCCAAACCGCGTGAGTAACTCTCTCTCAAAATCGTTCCACATGATCGGTTGATTGCGGGTCCCGTATACGCTTGTGAGCCATTGCCACCACACGTTGGCCTCCCCGTCTAGGTAATAGGCCGCATACCTAACCCAGTGACTCGCCAGCGTCTCGTTCAATTCGAAGTATTGCATCGTCCGATTGAGCCACGCCTCGGGGTCGTTCCCCGTGAAGGTCGAGAGCATTATTTTTGGTTTGTCAACCCTCGGCCTCTCGTGCATGTTGGACGCTTGCGAGTTCCGCTCGAATTCCTCCTCCTCATGCTCCCACTGTTGTTCCTGTTGCCGTAGATGCTCGCGTGCGTTTGTACGGATTCGCTCGTGAGCGCGTGGCTGCTGCTGGAGTTCTTGAAAGTTTCTCCCCATCTCCTCGAATTTTTGGGTCATGAATTGCATCATCTCCTTCATGGAAGGTTACCTTGTGAGACCCGAGTTCTTCCCCCATGGTGGACATGGTCTCGGTCATACCCGAAACTCGTGCATCAAGGCCATCGATTTTGTCCTTCATCTCTTTGTTGGCCATCTCCTTCTTCTCTTTTTTTCTTTCTTTGCTACGAGGACTCGTTTTTTATTTTTTTTTGAACGAAGAAAGATTGAACAAGGAAAATTAAAATTAGAATTAGGAGGAAGAAGAACACATGATCGAACACCTCTCAACGAAAGCACCAATGATGAGGATCGTTTGTTCGGTCTTTCGACAAGCCACGCGAGTGCCTTAAATTGAGATAGGGTCTCGAAGAACCACGTCCACAGTCCTTCGAAACAAGTAAAATTGCAGTAGAATTCAGGAAAATCTACGCAAAGTGTTTGAACAAAAGTTTGGTTTTTTTTTTGTATTAAGAAGAATCAATAATAATCTAAGAAACAATGCTTGCGCCTATTTATAAAGCTCAAATAAAGATCTAATCCTATTCCACTAAGGCTAATCTACTTAAACTAGGAAAGCAATAAACATAAGATATCCTACCATACTAGGAATTAAGGAAAGAAAAGGATTCTAATCTATGGAATCCGATTTGCATTGCCCAACCCTAGCCGCCATTGTGCGCGTACCGGACTTCCACGCCCACGTCATCCGCTTCGCCTATTCCTTGCGCGGTTAGAGATGCTCACGCGTGAATCCCCTCGGCCGTATTCGCGCTATCGCGTCCTTGGTCGAAATTCTCGCGCGCGTCACCGCTTGCGCGCGCATACCCACTAATGAGTTGGGCTTCAGCAGCCCGGCGGCTTAACCTCCGCCGTGCATGATAAGCGCGGCTCGCCGCATTCTTCAGCCTTCTTGTCGTGTTCTGATCAGCGCGCCAGTAGGCACGGCAGCATGCAGTCAGGCCATGCGCGTACGCCCGCAGCGTGCAGTGAGCGTGGGTAGTGCCCTAGTCGCCTGCAGCACACGCACATACTGTCAGCCAACAGCACTCACCGCATGCTGGCCAGTCCCAGCACACGCTAGCGCGCCCAACAGCGCGCCAACAGTGCTTAGCAGGCCTCGATCAGTGCCCCGCAGCATGCCCGAGTGCCCAGTCACCCTATCACGCAAGAGCAGCGTAGCCCGCGTGCCCAGTCGCCAGCCCGCGACGCACAGTAGCGTCCGGCGGTGCCAGTACGTGCCATTGCCGTAGCCAGCGTGGTCGGCAGTGGCCAGTCGCACCCAGCAGCGCCCAATTGCGCGTCCCAGTGCCCAGTAGCCGTCGTAGTGCACAGCAGCACGCCGATAGCCGTTGATACGGAAGTGTCTAGGCAACTCAAGAATGCCGCAAGTCGTGCCTATCACGCACGCAAGAGAATGGCACGGGCCGCAGGCGAGACGCACGTCCTAGGGCAGGAGTCACGCACGGAGCGCGAGAGTAGCCAATCAACGGGCAAGGACGACTGCACGCGACTAGAGCCCAAGACGGGTGAGCGCGGTGTCGCTGGCGTAGACGCGCAGAACGCGCGGGCAACAGGCGCAGCGGGTGCGATCACGGGAGATGCAGCGCTGCTGGGAAACACGCGCGGGGCCTAAGGCCCTATACCTCAAAGCGTACGACAAAGGGCGCGGAGCACCAGTCTTTAAGGATTGCGGACTAGCGGGGTACCACGCGCATGATGAGGCTGCTGGCAGCGAAGGCTTGTGCGGCACGCCAGGCAGGCGTGCACGTGCACAAGAAGACGGTGCTCTAGTCCTTGAGGACTAGGGCAAGGTCCGAGGGCGGCGCGCGAGGATGGCGGTCCGAGTGAGGCGGTGCATGAGAGAAAAAAGAGAGAGTTACTTGGAGTGCACACGAAGAAATTTAGTTTCCATCTTGCATTATGATTTCTAGCTTAATTAGGATTTCTAATATTTTATTGTTTTATTAAATCCCTAGGTAGATTAGGACTAGATATAATTTGTGCCTATATAAAGGCTCCTTCGCCATGTTATTTTTCATCATCAAGTTTATCAATAAAAATCCGAACTTCTGTTCAAACACTTTGTCTTAGATTTCTTTTAGATCTCTATTGCAATTTTATTCGTTTCAATAGGCGCGTTTGTGGCTAGAGAAACACCTATCGGCGATTCAAGGCGCGGATTCGTGGCTTATCGGCAATCGAAACACACGATCTTCATCATTCGTGCTTTCATTGAGAGGTGTTAGATCGTGTGTTTTTCTTCTACCCCATTCCCTTTCTTTTTCTCTTATTTTTTTTCGTCCCCCTATCAAAAAATAAAAAAATATTCCATCTTCAACACGAGTCTGCAAAGTAAAGAGCGAAGGCAAGAACAGAAAGCAATGGCCAACAAGGAGATGAAGGACAAGATCAACAATCTTGACGTCCAAATGAGAAGCATGAGCGAGGTTATGGAAGGAAGGCTTGGATCGCTCGACGAGAGCCAAGGCAACACCAATGCCGCCGTGGCACGACTCGAGCAACGCCTAGATGAGGTACTACTGGCGTTTCAGCAGCAACCACGGCAGCACAATGTCCTTCCGAGGCGCGAACACCGCAGACACGCCGAGCACGACGAGCGCTCGCCATCACCACGACGTGAGGAGCGACGCGCGCATGAGTAGCGCGACGGAGAACGGCGACGCGGTGACTATGAGCACGAGGACGATTTCGACCAACGCTCGCAGGCATCGAACTACCGAGATCGGTCGAGGCCCGACAATCCAAGGCTTGTGCTATCCACGTTCACTGGGAATGATCCGGAGGCTTGGCTCAATCGTACTGCATAGTACTTCAAACTCAACGAAACCGAAGGCCATGATCGAGTAAGGTACGCAACATTCTATCTTGATGGTGAGGCCAATGTATGGTGGCGATGGATCACAAGGGTCTAACGCAAACGGCAGCAGGCCATCACATGGGCCGAATTTGAGAGGGAGTTGCTCACACGGTTTGGCACTTTCGATTACCACAATTACAATGAGGCTCTCGCACGTATACGTCAGACGGGCAGCTTGCGCGAGTACATCAAGGAGTTCGAGCGTCTAGCCTGCCGCGTGCGAGATTGGCCCGAGGATGAACTAGTGAGAGCTTTCATAGGTGGGCTAAAGTTCGATCTAGCCGCAGAAGTTCGACTGGAGCGGCCAGACACGATGCACACAGCCATGGAGATAGCCCAACGCCTTAAGGACCATCTAGTTGCTACTCGAAGGGGACGGGCGGACGGCCGATTCATCGATGCACGACCCACGGGCCCGATCCAAGCGACCGCGGTCGCACGACCGACCATCGATGCACGACCCACGGGCCCGATCCAAGGAACCACAGCAAGGAAACGAGGTCGAAATACTCGAGGAAGAAGCTGAAATCTCGATGCACGCCATGGCTGGGGTCAGAGGGCCAAGGACGATGAGGCTACCAACCTGGGTCAAGGACCGACGAGTGATCGTACTCGTAGACAACGGGTCATCACACAACTTCATCAATGCCGAGTTATCCCAGAAGCTGAATCTACCAACAACGAAGATTGAGCCCTTTGAAGTTTGAGTAGCCAACGGTGAGAGGCTTCAATGCACTGAGTCCTTTCGTAAAGTACCAATCAATTTTCAAGGAGTTGTCGTGGAAGCCGATCTCTATGCCCTACCCTTGGTTGGACCGGACGTGGTTCTAGGAGTTCAATGGCTAGAAAGGTTGGGAAGGGTGACCATAGACTACCGCACCGGAGTCATGGAGTTTCGATCTGGAGGCAAGAGGGTCACTCTCAAGGGGGAGAAGAAAAGATTACAAAGGAAGTTGGCCTGAAGAGCATTGAAAGAGTTTGGCGAGGTGGCGGCCAAATTTTGCAGTAGTCGTCGAGAACATGGGAGCGCACATGGTCGAGAGCGAGCAACAACAAGGAGATGTGCGCGAGCTTCTCGAGGAGTTTGAGGGAGTACTGGGCGAACCTAAGGGACTACCACCCCACCGGGAGTTCGATCATAGCATACCATTGGTCAACGAGCAACATGCAGTACACGTCCATCCCTATAGGTACGCCCACTTTCAGAAAACTGAGATCGAAAGGCAAGTAGCTGAGATGTTAGAGTCTGGGTTAATTCAGCATAGCTCGAGTCCATTTTCTTCGCCAGTATTATTAGCTAAGAAGAAGGATGGTATGTGGAGGTTTTGTACCGACTATCAGGATTTGAATGTCGCGACCATCAAGGATCGATTTTCTATTCCGAGTGTCAACGACATGCTCGATGAGTTGGAAGGATCACGCTATTTCTCGAGGCTCGACCTGAGAGCCGGTTATCATCAGATCCGACTCCACAAGACCGACATTCCAAAAACAGCTTTTTGTACACATCAGGGGCATTATGAGTATTTAGTGATGGCATTCGGGCTGTGCAACGCTCCATCTACTTTCCAGATTGGTATGAATTCTATCTTCAAGGAGTACCTACGTAAGTTTTTCCTGGTATTCTTCGATGATATCTTAGTGTACTCGAAGTCATGGGTGGAACATCTGGAGCATTTAAGAGTGGTGCTCGAAGTCTTGGAGGCTAACTCATTCCACATCAAGCCGTCCAAGTGTTCATTCGGGCAGGAGATGGTTGAGTACCTAGGCCACTTTATATCCTACGAAGGCGCGAAGTTTGATCCACGGAAGATAGAAGCTATGGTCGACTGGCCTAAGACAACGAGTCTTACGCAGCTCCGAGGATTCCTAGGGCTCACGGGTTACTACAGGAAATTTGTAAAGGATTACGGGACCATCGCCAAGCCATTGACGGAAATGACCAAGAAAGGCGGGTTCACATGGAACAAGGCTAGCAAGGAGGCATTTGAGAAATTGGAGGGCGCTGTAACACCCCGCTCATCAGAGTAAATTTTTCGCAACTTATTTAAAAAATACTTATAAATTTTTCGAAACC